TATATATATATATATACATATATGTGTGCTCTCATATACACATGGAGAAGCAGTCGCACCGAGAAAAAGAAGGAGCAGAAGCAAGAGAAGTAGAAGAGAGTTAGCAGCAGCAGCAAGAGGTGTATAAGCAGCAGCAGCAGCAACAAAAGAAGTAGCAGCAGCAGCAACAGAAGAACTAGACGCAGCAGCAATGTAAGTGCCAGCAGCAGAAGCAGCATAAGTAGCAGCAGCAACATGAATAGCAGCAGCAACAAAAGAAGTAGCAGCAGCAGAAGCAGAATGAGAAGCAGCAGCAGAAGCAGCAGCAAGAGAAGCAGCAACAGTAGCCGTGTCATCCGTTACACCCGAAGAAATTAAATAAATCCTCTATTACATGTTAAGCAAATTATTTTTAATTAAATAAACAAATTAATTTGAGTTATTTTGATATTTTATTTATTATTTCTTTAAAGCTCTAAATAATTTATTTTTTTTATTCAACTGCGCAGCGTTGGAGGAGGTGCTTATACACCCGAACAGCCCCTACACTGTGTCTGTCTCTAAATAATAAAAACAAATAAATCTATATAAATATAAATATAATAAATAATAAAAGAAATAAACATAAAAAACAATAAATAATAATACTGCTAATACAACTAGGAGAGACTCTCAGCAGTAGAAAAAAATAAAAAGTAAAAATAAATAAACAAAATAATAAACAAAATAATAAATAAAATTAAATAAAATTAAATAGAAATTAATAATAAAAAAGGTTGCGATGAAAACGCTAATGGCGGTTTAAATAAGACTCAGACAGAGTCGCAGCTAACAAACCCTAAACCCTAAACCCTAAACCCTAAACCTGAAGCACATTCTTCTTTTTTGTTTCTGCACACAAATATTGACAAGTTGTGTCGCTCCGAATTAAAATGAAATCATGCAAATCTTCTGCTCTTCGCTAAACATATGTATATATATATATATGTATATATGTATATATACATATATATACATATATATATATATATATACATATACATATACATATATATATATATATATATATATGTATATATGCATATAAATACATAGTATATATACATATATATATATATAAACATATATATATCTACATATATATATATATATATGTATTATATATATTATATATAATATATATATGTAAATAGATACAGATATATTGTTGAAGAGTTTGTTGCGAGAAATTTGTTTAACAAATTAAATCCTCGTCAATCTCTTAAAAGACAGATTTGCATGCAGTTTGTATATAAATATATATTTATATAATTATATATTTATATAATTACATATTTATATAATTATATAGTTTTAAATATATTTATATATATTTAAATAGACATACAGATGTACGTCTGTTTATATGCGCGTCAGATGCAAACAACTGCACGAAAATATATATATATATATGCTTATATAAATAAATAAATATACACATATATAACTATATAAATATATATAATCATATATATATATATATATATATATAAAGAGATGCATCTCCTGTTAACTTGCATCCTCGCTAACTAAACACGAAGGTAGGGGCTAGCTAGCTAGCTAGCTCTGTGCTAGCTAGCTGGCTAGCTAGCTAGCTGTGTGGGTTGTGGCTTTGTAGCCGTTCGTCCATCTCGCCGCCGCCGCTGCTGCTGCTGCTGCTGCTGCTACTGCTGCTGCTGGTGTTTAATGTATAGACTGCGAGCTATATCTTTGTCTGTGTCTCTCTCTTGAAGTTTCTCTTGAAGAAGCAGCAGAAGAGAAGTGAGAAGAGCAAGAAGGAGCACTCTGATCTGAGTAGTGGCCTCTGCTGCTGCTACTGCTGCTGCTGTTGCTGCAGCAGCTGCTGCTGCGATCTTCTCTTTTGCTGCGCTGCTTTAAATGGTCTTTCTCGTGACAGTAGCCGCACTCTCTTCCTTCTGTACATACACCTGCTTCTATCATGAAAGGACACGGGAGACAGCGATTTTCGCGGTGTATGCGCAGCTCTTTCTCTCTTCGTTCTGCTGCTGTTAGCTGCCACCGCGACCCCACACCTCCAGCAGCAGCAGCAGCAGCACGACCGCCGAAGTCTCGCTGCACAACAAACAAGCAGCAGCAAATAAATATCAATGTCTCCCTCACCAACTAACTACTGCTCCTGTTGCTGCTGCGGCAAGTACAGCCGCAGCTTCAGTGCTGCAGCATCAGCAGCTACAGCTGCAGCAAGTGCAGCAGCTGCTGCTGCACTTGCTGCAGCATAAACCAACTCAAGACACACCTCAATGCGTCGAGACAAAGTAACAGCAGCAGCAGCAGCAGTAACAGCAAGAGAAGCAACAGCAGCAGAAGCAACAGCAGCAGCAGCAATAGCAGCAGCAGCAGCTGCTGCAACACTTACAGAGTAAGACCTGCTTCTGGAGACAGATCGAGAGTAGAATCGCCGCCTGCTGCTGTTGCTGCGGCTCCTCCACCTCATCGGCCTTCTGCTGCTGCTCCTGCTGCTGCTTCTTCTCCTGCCCCTGCTGCTCCTGCTGCTTCTTCTGCTTCTTCTGCTTCTGCTGCTGCTGCTGCTGCTGCCGTGACGGGGCCTCGATGCGGAGCTGTGGCTCCTTCTCCTCTTCCTGTGCACGCTGCTTCTGCTTCTGCTGCTGCTGCTGCTACGTGTGCTGCTGCTGCTGCTGCTGCTGCGCCTCCGATGGTGGCCGCGAGACCGTCGGCCCCGTCCTCTGTGCTGCTTCCTGCTGCTGCTTCTGCTGCTGATACTCCTGCTGCTGCTGCTTCTGCTGCTGCCTCGGCTGCTGCTGCCTCTGCTGCTGCTGCTGCCTCTGCTGCTGCTGCGGGTTCTGCTGCTGCCGCTGCTTCTGCTGCTGCCGCTGCTTCTGCTGCTGCCGCTGCTTCTGCTGCTGCCACTGCTGCCGCTTCTGCTGCGGTCTCTGCTGCTGCTGCTGCTGCTTCTGCTGCGACCTCTGCTGCTGCCGCTGCTAACAGAAACAGCAATTCTTTTTCTTCTCTTGCTGCTCGGGTGATCTCTGCGGCTGCGCCTTCTGCTGCTGCTTCTGCTGCTGACGCTGCTTCTGCTGCTGCCGCTGCTTCTGCTGCTGCCGCTGCTTCTGCTGCTTCCACTGCCTCTGCTGCTCCTGCTGCTGCCGCTGCTGCGGCTGCCTCTGCTGCTGTCGCTGCTTCTGCTGC